TAGCCAGCCAAGGTCTTCAGTGCTGTAAGAGCACATCCTGAAACCTGAGAGCCACTTTGGTGTAGTGGTTAGGAGTGCGGACTCTAATCTGGGTTTGATTCCCCACTCCTCCACATGCAGCTTCTGGGTGACCTTGGGTCAGTCAGAAGTTCTTTCAGAGCTGTTCTCTCAAGGGCAGTTCTCAAGAGAGCTCTCTCAGCCCCAACTGCCTCACAGGGTGTCTCTTGTGGGGAGGGGGAGGGATTGTAAGCCGCTCTGAGACTCCTTTGGGTAGTGAAGGGTGGGGTATAAATCCAATCTCTTCTTCTGATGTTTGCAGAGCTGGACTTTGCCACTTCCAACTAGCCCGAAGGAGGTTGCTAAACCATCAGGAGTATAATTTGCATTTTATTTCAAGCCTATTTAAATTCAATAGGTAAGGGGGTGGTGGATGCCAGTTTCCCCCTCGCCCAAGCAGTCTGCTGTTGATATGTTGTGATGCACTGGCTGGTGCCTCAGGCTAGGAACCAGGAGACCCAGATTCAAATCGCCACAAAGCTCAGTGACCTTGGGGTAACTCTCAGCCTCACTAAAACAAAAGGGGAAAGGCAGAACTGCATATGTTGCCTTGAGATCCTTGGAGGAAGACTGGGGGAAGTATTGCTAGAAGGACTGGGTGCGTTTGTGTTTATAAAGCGTCATCTAGGTGTGCAGCTAATCTAAATTCTGCTCCAAGACAAGTGGGGCAACCATTGCAAAAGTCTTGCTCTTGGTAGACGCCAGCCTCGTATCTAACCATAATGTTATTTTGAGCACTCAATGGCAAAACCTAAGGAGCTGGAATGTACGCAGAGGAGCACATATGCCCAGCAGTCACACACAAAGTTTAAACAGCAAAAGTGTCTTCAAAAAGGTCAGTCTGCCGACTGAGAATTCTTAGTTAGATGTGAAAGCCTAACGGGATCTTCCCAAAAAGGAGATTCCTTAATTCTGGTGCCACCCTGAGAGAAGGCCCCATTTCTGCCTGAGAACTGACCTCAAAGCAGAGTCCCACTGCTGTGTGGGAAAGAGCTTGAAAACACCCAGCCACAGATACCAGGATGAGCGAATTGCATACTTGTCTCTTAGGCTTTTCAGATGTACCCTGTAGTGACTCACATGAACTCTATCCAATGCTGTTATGATCCATGAGATATGGGTCTGGTTTTTTGACAGGGCCAAACAAAAAATAAAAGATCTGGTCCATAGGCAATAGGGCCTGTAACATTTTTACTACAATAAATGCTAACTACAAAAAACAGTTAACAAAACAGTTCAGTCATTGTGAAGGAACGCAAATTCTTTTCTCTCTCTCTCTCTTTGGGTTGTGTTTTAGAACACCGGGGCTAGCCCACAGCTTGAAATCAAAACACAGTAAACGTTTTAGAACATTTTTAAAGGCAGCTGTGCTGAACCGAATCACCAGCCAAACCTGACCCATTGGAGCTGTCTGCAGTTCCACTAGATGGCCAGTAGAAGGCTGCTTGAGCTGCCCCAGAATGCAATGGGGCCCTGGGTAAAGTAATTCTCACGCCCATCCTGCTAACCCACGGGACCAGAATGACATTCCAAGAAGAAGCTGCCAGCTGAGCATTGGTGCTCTTCTCGGCATCTGGGAATACAACCACAGCCAAATAGGCAGTGGGCATGGCAACACTACAGGAGGGAGATGTGCGCTTGAGAGCCATTTACAGGACATAGATAATGAGAATCTGCTTTTGGATCAAGAGAAAGCCGGTTCTGTCCAAGTTCCCCTGACTACTAATGCTCAAAAAGCAAGGGGCCCTGCATTTTTCTTGCCAAACGTAACTTCAGTGGAGAAGCTTAAAAGCATAACAGCTGGTGTCAGACTTCTGGGAAAACTGGTAATGTTGGGAGGAAATCCCAGCTTTGCCACAGAGCTCAGTGAGGAATGGGTGGGCCAACTAGCCTCTCTCTCTCAGCCTATCCTAACTCAGAGTCTTGCTGTGAATAAACTGGGGGGGAGGGCCTGCATGCCGTCCTGAGAATGGGGTGCGTGTGTAAAAATGCAGCATGCAAACAAAACTCTTGGGGAGCTGTCTCAGGAAGCCTTCCACAACAACTCTGGGCGTGGTAATGATTTCCTTCCTTATAATACGGCTGAGTGGCAGCAGTTCATCAATAATGGAAACCAACAACACAAAAAAAATCAGTACGTTGTATGACAATAAACACCTGCAAAGAAAGGTACTTTCCAGACTTTGGCAAGCTCAGACCCATTCCCTGGGCGGGGGGGTGTTCGCCAGAATGCTGCAAGTACAGAAAAAAGGCCTGTTCTGAGAATGGAATTCCGTCTCCTGGGCATCTGAACTTCCATTACAAAGCCATATATGGCTGCGAGAAGGATGGGTAAAACATGTTGGTAAAGCCTACCGCTTGCTCTGTGGTGCACGCCGGGCCACCCAAGGCCTCTCTGCAGAAGTGTCCCACCGTGACAGCCCCTGTTGCTTGGACCTGAGCGGGCGCGACCAGATGGGCACACCGAGCACTGGCACCGCAACAGCGCCATCGGCTACCAAGAGGCTTCCAGGTGCCGATTTTGACGATAATCAAAATTCTGTGAAGGGGACACATGAAGCTGGTGTTCCTTTTCAATCCTTGGCTTCCCTCTTGTGAGGCTCTCTTGCGAGCTAAAAAACATCCTACTTCTTCTTTCTGTCCTTGGAATCTCCTTTCCGCGAAGACTGGGGTTTGGAACGGATTCTTTTCTCCAGATCTTGCTTTATTTCCAAAGGAAACTCCTCTAAGTGCAAGTTAGCACATGGGAGGCAGAATCGTTTTGCGTAGAAAAGACTGCAGTCCTGAAAGAGAAGAACGAAAAAGGGTCGGAATAAAGACACACTCAGGAAACACAATTTTTTACCCTAAAAGGAGACAACTCTGCATGTAAAACAATCCCCCCCCCCAATGTTATACACAAAATATTTATTACTGTATGTTCTTGTAAGTTGTAGGCAAATATAAGATAACCCCCTTCTTTAATGCCGCACAGCCTCTTCCAATTAACAGTGCAATCCTATGCAAAATGACTCTAGTCTTAGCCTGCTGAAAACAATGGGCACAGAACCCACTGACCCCGCCCCTGAGTTACTGGAGTGAACTGCAATGAACTTAAGCCCCATTATTTTCAGTGTGAGTCAATCACAGCTAACTTCCACTGAAGGTGTATAATTGATCTGAAGGTGGAGGAGGAGGAGACTGGATTTATACCCCGCCCATCACTACCTGAAGGAGTCTCAGAGCGGCTTAAAATCTCCTTCCCCTTCCCCTCCCCACAACAGACACCCTGTGAGGCAGTTGGGACTGAGAGAGCTCTCTTGAGAACTGCCCTTGAGAGAACAGCTCTGAAAGGTCACCCAGCAGCTGCATGTGGAGGAACGGGGAATCAAACCTGGTTCTCCTAAATTAGAGTCTGCACTCTTAACCACCACACCAAACTGAGTAGTCAGAGCCGCATTGTGACCTTGTAACTTCTTTAAAAGGGTCCAGCTTCTTCCGTCTGCTGCCCCAACAACCGGAGGGGGGGGGGGAATTGAATGTTTTGACTTGTCCCTCCTCAAAAAAAACTGAGACGTGGAGCCAGAGAGGGTCTTCCCCTCCACCAGTGGAATTGATAGGTCAGATCCAGATTAAATTGACAATTTCTACCATTCCAGCTGCAAACCCCTTGTGCAAACCCCCAGGAGCCCCAAGATGTGGAGATTGGGGGGTTGTGTGTGGGGGGGGGAGAGGTGGGAAAGCCCCGTTTCACTGATGGACAATCTAGCCTGGAGCCAGCCCTAGGTGCTGAATGCTGGTTGCAAGGTTTCTGTTCCCCTTCAAGCTACAGATTTCTGGGCTCATGGGGGGGGGGATTATTTGCACCCCACAGCCCCAGCCTTGGCCTTGCCTGTCATCCCACACAGGCCTGATAGCCTCTTTCATGGCCTGCTCTAGCCTCGCCTGGTGCTCTAAACATGATGCTTCCGACAGAGACGGGAGATTGAGCAACCTGGCATCTGCCTGACTACCAACCACTCCAGCTGTCTGGACTCTGCGTTCAGGCGGTTATCTCGCTTCTCAGCAGTTTTCAACAGGGTTCTTGAGGTCGGCCAAAGACAATTTTATTGTTTCTATTTCAGCACCTCCTGATACGCTTAAGAACCATGGAACACGATGCAGGATGCTTCTCAGGAAGAAGGTTCCCAGCCGAGTCTGAATCCCCCACCTGAGGGGCAGGATCCCGGCTACTGGCCCACCTCAGATCACCTCGGTGACAGGAGAAGCCAGAAGAGACTTCAGGTGGAGCTGGATTTGTTCACGCTGGCTTGGTAGATTCTGCCTTTGAGCTCAAGGGATGGATGGGGAGACATTCCCAGAGAAAAGGGCTGTCAGCCACGATGAGTGCTAAATGGACCCCCCCCTCCAAGTTCACAGGCAGCAGACTCCCAACATGTGGGCTGCTGTTGGGGTTGCGATCCTCCAGGTGGAGATCCCTTGGGATTACACATGATCTCCAGGAGACAGAGATCAGTTCACTCGGAGAAAATGGCTGTTTTGGAAGTTGGACTCTAGAGCATTATATGAAGTCCCTCCCCTCCTCAAACCCCCACCTTCCTCAGGCTCCACCCCCCAAATCTCCAGGTATTTCCCGACCCAACGCCAGCAAGTCTAGCTGCTGTTCTTGCCCTGCTTATGACCTTCCCAGAGGCACAGGTTGGGCCACTGTTGAACCGGGACAAGAGGGACCGACCCCCCCCCCGGGTCTGATCCAGCAAGACTCAGCCTGTAAGCCTGGATGCGGCAGGGTCTTTTGCCTGTCTGCTCTTAAAAGGGCTCGGTGGCCAGAGGGACTGGTGGGGGAAAGCAAAGAGTTACGAATTGTGCTTCGTGGGCACACCCTTTGCCCAGAAAATGCCACATGATGTGATGAAAGATGCGCAAGCTGGGAAAACCAGTCCAAACTGGGACTCTCTGTCATGACGCAAGATGCAGAGCCTTTTCGTGTCTGTGGTAACACCGCACAAACAAGCAACCCACGAGCCTCCATATCAGAACAGAAGCAAAGTAGGGCAACTTCTGGCAACTTCTCCAAAGGAAGAAAGAGCTTCCACTTGGGAATAGCCTGCCTTTGCTGTCCTCTGCGTGAACTGAAATGAGCCTTACGCTAAGCTCCTGGACACTCTCCTCTCAGTTTCAGCAGCAACGGCTCGGCTGAGGAGATCCCGAGGAGCCAGCCAGCTTCATCCCAGAGGGACATCCGCCCTACAAGTGTAAACTGCTTTCGTAGTCACTCCTGTTCTCCGAGGAACGGGAATTTCAGCGCAGGGTTGCCAAAAACCAACGCAGAATTCACAGCACTTCTCCAAGCTGCAGTTCCCAGGAGCATTGTGGGGGAAGTCATGGAACTTAAACTGATATAGACGTAATATCAGTTTATAGTGAAGATAAGCCTTTTAGGGCTCAGGTGAACTGACGGGCGGGTTTGAACAACAAGGCCCACTTCTATTCTCTGTCCAAGTATCTAAAGAGTTACTAGATCTCCAATATTTTCAGACGAGATAGTCCAGAAAAACTGTCACCGTGTCCTACATACAGCCCATCTCCTGAACGGGCTTGGTACATAAAAGCCTCCTACAACTGAGTTCACAGGAACCCCAGGCTCTGTTCCAGCAGAGCAGACATGATAGGCTCCAGACTCCGAGATCCCGGGAAGTTTTCCACGGTGTCCTCAAGAGACAGATGGACACATTCCTTGCTCAGAGATTGGCTGGAACCGAGGGGTGTGTGATCACTGGCTTGTGTCATACAGAGCTCCACATGGCTCAGGCGACAAGGTCAGAGTTTTGTTATGATTAGCAATTTTAAATTCAAAGCTATTCGATATATAACAGACCAAGACCAAGCGGCTCACCTAACACCAGAGAGCGCCACATGTGTGTGTTGTCATTTGTTATTTACATTATCCATCACACACACGCGCCCCCACCTGCCAAGCTGATGGGATGTCACGGCATATTCATAAACACTCCAACTATTAAGGAGGAAGGATCAATCCTGAATGGACCAACTGGGCGTCTGCGGGACAAAAAAAAAATCACACACAATCTAGGGGACAAAAATGATTCTGCGCTGTCGTTGGGAGAAACGGGATAGCCAAGGGCTTCGTTTTTATTACACCGTGGCAAAGAACAAAAAAAAAAAGGGTTGCAGAACCACTTCCAAGGAAGTGGGGGAGGGTGCCCTCTCATCTGTCCCTGCAGCCGCCGGGCACAAAATTCACTTCAGAGATATAAATGACCAAGCGTCACATGTTACTCACTGTGCCAACGCACACGCGCTTGCTACACAAACTGCACTCCGATCCAAGGATAAGGAATTTGTCCTTCTCAGGGGTGAACGGATCTCTCATGACATAGCTGTCCTCCAGGAGGCTGGGGAAGAAGCGTGCCAGGCTTGAAATTCAGGTCACCACACTCCATTTGAAACAAATTCATGCTCACAACAAACCAGTAACCAACAATTAAAAGGGACTAAGTTTAGGGCTGCAGGCTTGGCAACCCTGACCTGTCCCTGGGGGAGAGGGACGTGCAAAGAGCTCGGTCCCAACCCATAATAATCTGCTGAGTGCAGATTTACATAATAAAAACAGAATATTCAGGGTCAGCTTCCTATGGGGTAAATACAGTAGACTGATAACCTGCGACGCATTTTGAAATCATGCCTGCCTTTTCCTCTTCCCCTCCCAATCCCGGTTTACTAGTCCCTGCTGCCTGCCTGCTCTCCTCTCCCCCCCACCCCACCAAATGAGAGGCCTTTAGTATCTTGGGTGCCAAGAGCAGAGAGAAGACAGATGCTGCTCTGCTACAGAAACTGGGGGGGGGGGAGGCAGTTCTAGGGGCGCTGGTGGGATCCTGGGACTCCCCTGAGGGCTGAGAGGTTCTTGGAAGAATGAAAAAAAATCCACTGGAGAGGCTGCAGGAGGAAAGGGTAAGTGAGGACACGTGTGTGTGTGCGTGCGTGCAGGCACACCCACCCCTGCTGACTTTTTCAGTCACTGCCGTTACTTGCTGTGGCAGAGATGCACCTATCGCCACACAAAACGCCACCAGTAACAAATGGTCCGAGACCCGTGGGATATACTTACGTAACAGAGTAGGTATTTGGAGGTTTCTGCCCATAGTAGCTGTACGGGACACGTAATCCACAGAGCTCACATTCAAAGGTGCCCTGAAGAGGAGGCTCTTTGCTGGACTCCATCTTAGAATGCTGCAAGTGCAAAAAGAAAACCAATTTATGGGAAGATGGGAGAAGGAAGCACTGCGAGGGTCTAATCCAGCAGAGGTGTACTGGGCCACGGGAATCGAATGCTAAATCGAGGGCCAGTTTGGTGTCGTGGTTAAGTGGCCGGACTCTAATCTGGGAGAACCGGGTTTGATTCCCCACTCCTCCACTTGCAGCCGCTGGGTGATCTTGGGTAAGCCATAGTTCTGTCAGAGCTGTTCTTAAAAGGGGTGTCTGTTGTGGGGAGGGGAAGGGCAAGGAGATTGTAAGCCGCTCTGAGACTCCAAGTGAAGGGCGGGGTATAAATCCAATCTCTTCTTCTTCTCTTCTAAATTCATACTCACATAACCCACCCCTTATTCTTATCCAAGAAAGACACCCCTGATTCAAGATCTGCTCAACATGGGAGCTAATTTCCCAGCACATCAAAGAAGCCAGAGTGGAGTCAAAATGGCATTCTTATGATCATACTCAAATCTGTGGAACTCATGTGGCAAGTATCTTGGTTAGTAAGCAAGAGGGAGAGGGGCATGAGTGTACCTAGTCAGAGCATCTTGGAAGCACAGGTGAGAGTTCAAAGCATTTTGAATCCTTCATTCGGTAATCGTTAACATTTGCCTGCCTTCAAGAGTTATTTTCATGTTTCCAATGGGATGAACCTCAGCTAAGCCACTCAGGTAAGATTTTACCTAATTCCACCTGTGAGTTCAGAGCGGGGTACTCTGCCGTGCACAAACACTCTCTTGAATTAAAGTCTCTCCAGGGAGGAAAAAATTCTAACCTAGGAAACTCTTAAGGGAAAAAAAAATCAGAAGGGAAGCCTTTGCACACTAGCTCTTGCCATGTTTCTGAATGAAATTCCAAAGCAAGTCAACCACGGCCCTGGTCACACGGAGATTTTGCCACGCGAAAAGCACTAATGTCGGGCGGATTTTCGGGGCACGATCACACCGCAACATCTGGGAAGCGTAGCGCACCCATGGCCAACCCGTGGCGTCCTGCCGAAGATGCTGAGTTAAAAAGTACCAAGGAAAGTGCACTAGTATCTGGAAAACGTGCCTCTGATCACAGGCGGGCCTCTGATCACGGGAGCGCTGGTATCCTGTGGCATCCAGCGCCTGTCCACGTCCCGTCGCAAACCGGATGTTTTTCATAAGCGCATGCACGCAAACATGAAACTGAAAGCAGTGCTGCTCCGCGGAACTGCGCATGCGCACAAATGCGAAACGCTTGTGTGATCGTGCCACACCGCTTCTTTGCCACGCTGCAGCATCGCCACGTGATCGCCAGCTAACAGCCTAAGCACGGAGACTCGGGGGACCGTGTGATCGGGCTACCATGCTTTATTTTGCTCCGGGGCGAACAGCCACGCCTCCCCCCCCCCGCGCGTTATCTGGCCTGCGTGACCGGGGCCCACATCTGGCAATATGTCACAGTCAGGATGGTCCCGATCAGCTCTACCATATGGAGTTCTGCAGACTATCACATGTGACCAGTCACCCAACTGAGGCTCACTTCCCCCGCAGTGAAGGAATGGGCGTGCACATAGCCCCTCACACATGCAATACTGATGCTTCTGACTTAGGCCCAATTTATTCAAGGATGAAAGATCAAGCAGAAAGCATCACACAAATCAAACTTCCCATGCCCCGCCCCCCCGACTCGTGACCTTACAAAAACCACGGAGGGTGGTGAGCAGGGCCACTCTTCTATCACACGGGGAGAATCCACACACAGATTAAAGTGAATAAGCTTTAGGGGAGGGAGAGGACGACTGGAAGCCTCTTCACACTTCCTCTTGAACCGCTAAGCTCTTTCTGCCCAGATGCATCTTTGGAACTGAACGCACTCCAGAAACGCACACCACCATTCCAGAGCCAAGTGGATCAGGTAGCAGAGCAAAGGGGCAAAGTGAGTTACCTGGATTTTCTTTGCCTCTTACACAAGTCTGCACAGTGCTTATCTTGACGCAGGCTTCTATTCTCCACAGACGCGCATGATTAGTTAATTGGTTTGCATGTGAGGAAAGGATAAACAAGCGTCCTCTGTACAGACAAGTCTAAAGCACAGGCTGAGATGGTATCATCTTGCGATCTTCCATGGACGCACCTTCAATCTTCCCAAATTAAATCTGTACTGGCACTTGTTGGGCTTTTTTCCCCCCTGCAGGGTGTTCTTGTATCGTCATTCTGATATTTAGGTCAACAGAATATTCAGTACACTGAATGGTGTTTGTTGCCAAAAGGAAGCTGCACTCAGCTTAGAAGCTCAGCTCACATACTGGGCAACTTTTGTTTCAGGTGGGAAGCTGTGCTAGTCCGTAGCAGCAGAATAAAATTAAGAGTCCTGTAACAGGCTGTGGTCACACGGCAAGCCTACTGCGATTTGTTCCTGCTGTAGATTTGATCAGGGATATTTTTAAGTGGGTTCAGATGATCACACATCCCTTGCCCAACCGCTTGCTTTGTGCGACTGTCCAGACAGCTGCGCTGCCCAAGTGGCAGCGCAGCACATTAAAAAATATATATTTGTGCATGCGCATGTGCACATATGCGCACATGCACGCATGCGCTTTAGCACACTTCAATGCCGTTTTATCCCTCTTTGCATGACCAGACGGCAGAAACCAGGGAGTCAGCCTGTCAACCATTTTTTTAGAAGTCTGCTCTTAGGAGCATGCCCAGAAGCACTCAGTATGCTGGGATATGGTGTTCATGGGGCTGTCGGCCATTTTCTTTTAAAATTAAGTCCACAGAGCAATTGCACAAGTGGTGAAGAGACTGCTGGGAAATGGAGTCCACTGCCGTCCTCCCTCTAATCTTTTCCATTTACCCCGTCCCCAAACGATATTAAAAAGCTGCAGGAAAAGGGTTGTATTTCTTTGAGAGTTTTTCAAACGAAAACAAGGTTTTGAGCAGCCCCCCCCCCCGGGGGGGGGGGACATATAGACAGTCATGCGATCCTCGCTAACTGGGGGGGGGGGGGGGGAATGGCAGCCAGAAAGCAAGTGCTCAGGGAGACCTGCCTGACTGCTTGGCTGCGCAACAGAGTGACTAGACGACAGGAAATCCATTTTGGAAGCGGCTCAGACCAACGGGACCAGACTTTATCAGGTATCAAAGAATGACGGGGCAATGGGAGGGGGGGATGGAACTCAGACGACTCAGGCACGACAGACAGATGTTGCTCACTGATCATGCACTTTAAATCCATTAAGGGAACAGCAAGGGGAATGGATCAAATTGCCCGTGTGAATGCAGCAAAAAGAGGAAGGAAGGAAGGAAGGATGGACCCAGAGAAATCTGAAACATACAATACATCCAATCAGTTCCAAGCAAAAGGGCATTTATTATGATACTCCAGAGCACAACTAGAATTCTAAATCTTAGTCTAATATAGCCGGGCTGTGTGTGTTCTATTCCCCCTCCTCTTTTTATTGGAATTTCTGTAGTCCCTACTGTGTTTAAATGTACAAAGCACACATGCACAGATGGAAGTCGGCCTAATCAAACCATCTTTGCAAGATCCCAGCCACCAGCAGGCACCAGGCCCATGATAGACCTTGACTGTAAGGAAAGGGCCTAGCAGATTTATAAACACTGCTGCCCACTAGAGGGCAAACTTGGAAATGCTTGAGTTGCCAGATTTTCTTCCCCGAGAAAAGCAACAGCAATGTTATGAGAATGGCAAAGAGCGTTCTGGGGAATTACAGATCACGGAATTCTGATTCCACTGATTTTTTCTATGGCTGCAGTCACACACACGAAATAATCCACTTTCAATGCACTTTCAGTGCACTTTCCAACTGGATTTTGCCAGTTCACACAGTAAAAATCCAGTTGGAAAGTGCACTGAAAGCTGATTATTTAGCATTTGTGACCACAGCCACAATGTCATTCTTTCAGGCCAAACGAAGGCCCAGCAGAGCACTGAGGGCAACGTAGCAGGAGCAGGACAGTGTAGGCTAAAGAATAACACACACTCCCCATCCTCTCTTAAACCCCTTGTGAAAGTGGCATCAATGTGGCAAATGAGGTTTGTTGGGATTCTTTTTAAGTAAGTCAGCAGAGTATTAAGAGACTGAGTCCATGGTGTGTATTACTATAAACCTAACATGGGGAAAAGGTACACAGGGTATGAAAATAACAAAGAGCTAATATGGCTACATCCTTACAGCTAAAGATAAAACGGGAAGAGCAGAATGGCGTCTCCTTCTCTGGCCAGAACAAAGAATGGGAGGAGAAACCAATATGCTGAATACTTGACACCTTGGTTTCCAATCAGACTAGCAAATTAGCTCCAAAGTTCCCGGGCATTCTGTTGTCTAAACAGATTGGTTACAAACAAACATGTGACTTAACAAACATCATTAACCTTGTAAATACTGAAGTGTTTTGACTTGTAACACCCAACAAGGTTCAACATGGGGAAGCGTAAAGTCATGCACATTGGAGCCAAAAATCCTAACTATAAATATAGGTTGTTGGGTCCGAACTGGCAGTAGCTGACCAGGAGAGAGATCTTGGAGTCATGATAGATAACTCACTGAAAATGTCAACTCAGTGTGTGACTGCAATAAAAAAAGGTAAATGCTGTGCTGTGGATTATTAGGAAGGGGACTGAAAACAAATCAGCCAGTATCGTAATGCCCCTGTATAAATCTATGGTGCAGCCTCATTTGGAAGACTGTACAGTTCTGTACACCACACCGCAAAAAAGATATTTCTAGCATTGGAAGAAGTGCAGAAAAGGGCAACTAAAATGCCTAAGGGGACGGAACACCTTCTCTATGAAGAAAGGTTAAAGAGGCTAGGGCTCTTTAGCTTGGAGAATCGACAGCTGAGGGGTGACATGACAGAGCTTTATTATGCACAGGACAGAGATGGCAGAGAAAGAGGTACTTTTCTCCCTTTCTCACAATACAAGAACTCGTGGGCGCTCAATGAAATTAATAAGCAGTTGGGTTAGAACGGATAAAAGGAAGTACTTCTTCACTCAAAGAATGATTAACATATGGAATTAACTGCCACAGGAAGTGGTGGCAACTACAAGCGCAGACAGCTTCAAGAGAGGATTGGGTAAACATATGGAGCACAGGTCCATCAGTGGCTATTAGCCACAGGGTATAGAGGGAACACTCTGTCCGGGGCAGTGATGCTCAGTATTCTTGGTGCTTGGGGAGCAACAGTGGGGAGGCTTCTGGAGTTCTGGCCCCACTAGTGGACCTCTTGATGGCACCTGGGTTTTGGCCAGTGTTTGACACAGTGTTGAACTGGATGGCCACTGGCCTGATCCAACATGGCTTCTCTTGTGTTCTTAAGAACTTCTTCTTACGTTCTTAAGTGCTGGTACGTCAAAAGCCTCTAAGATGGTGCTGTTCACGAATGTGGCAGCCCACATGCTGACAGTGCTTGGCCTGGGGGATCACACAACCCGATCTGTTCTCTGTCCTGGAACCACTTTAGGAAAGCTGCAGGAAGAAACCTCTCTCCATATGCAGATGGGTCATCTCTGCCTTTTTTTTTTTCAATTAAGAAGATCCAGACGGGTGAGCATTTTCCTCACTGGAAAGTTGCATCAGCCTCCCGATCAGTTCAACTGTTCTCTTTTATACCTTTCCCATGTACTATGATAAACTCAAGTGCTGTCCCAAGTCAGCTGCCCAGAAATGGTAGGCAGGCAGGCATTAGTTATTTACCTCACGTATAGCCCACATTTATCACTGAGACTTCAGGTGCCATTTTGAGTCCCTTCCCTAATCATTCCAAACTCCCCCGTTGTCACTGTGGTCACACAAGTGAGGCCCTTGAACACCATCCACCACAACCCTGAAATCCACTCCAGCCAATTCAGACCCCATCAACATCTGTGTGGGGTCCCAGCTTGCATCACTTCCACTGAAGCTCATGAGCCATTTTATTGCACCTGAAGAGATTCTTCTGAGAGCCAGTGTGGTGTAGTGGTTAAGAGCGTTGGAATAGTTTCTGGGAAACCCAAGTTCGAATCCCCCGTCATGCCGTGGAAGCTTGCTGGGTGACCTTGGGCCAGTTACACTCTCCCAGCCTAACCTACCTCACAGGGTCGTTGTGAGGATAAAATGGAGAGGAGGAGAACGATGTATGCCACTTTGAGTGCCCCCGGGGGGGGGAGGCGGGATACAAATGAATGAATTAAGTACATTTATAGTCTACAATGGATTTCTCCATCCCCACCCATTCACTGCCATGCACAAAGACGCACCCGGTTCTCATTCGTCACTGAGTAAGTCAAGTCGTTGACAATGGCCCCAGCACCACTCCTGGAGGGGCCCCACGGCACCCGCCAGGAGATCTCTCTCAAATCCAAAGCTGGCTGGCTGGAATGCAGAACCAGCCCAAGCACATCTCCTACCAAAAAAGGTGGCATGGACCTCAGGGAGACTGCAGCAGTTCATGCTCTCCAGAGAGCCACAGACACCTGGCAGCCTCTGACATGGCCCCAGGCTTCATAGACGACCCTGCTGTGGGACTCACGTTGGGTTGCCAAGTCCACGTTCGGAAATTCCTGGAGATTTGGGGGTGGAGCCTGGGGGAGGGAAGGAAGCTCGGCAAGATTATGATGCGCCACAGAGTCCGCCCTCCAAAGCTGCCATTTCCTCCGGGGGAACTGATCTCTGCAGTCTGTGGTAATTCCGGGAGATCTCCACCCCCATCTCCCGGAGGCTGGCAACTCCATGCAGGAGGCAACCGTAAAGCTGGGGACGAGAACCGTGGCCAGGAAAAGAGGCTTCTTTTGTGCCCGCCCCGCAGGGCTCCCCAGCCACAAGCAAAGCCCAGCCAGCCCCCCAGCAGATTAGGAGTCGTGACTGAAAAGCCTTAATAGTTCGGAGGCCGCCAAACTGGGCTTGCACATGGCACTTCGGAGCGCACCGGGCTTCAGTTCGGATTCCCAGCCTCCACGTGGGTCTTGCAGATGTCCCGGAACTACACAGATCAGCTCCCCTGGGGGAAGCGGCACTTTCGACAGGTGGCCTTCTGTGCATTATATATATCCCGCCGAGGTCCCGCCCTCCCCCAAATCCTACTCTTTGCATGTTCAACCTCCCCCCCTCAAAAAAAAAAAAGTCTCCAGGAATCTCCGCATCTGGAGTTGGAGGGGAGGCAATGCATCTTTCCCCGAATATCCCCCCCTCCCCACCGACACACACAGAGAAGTTTGCCATTGGGCGGCTTTTGCCTAAAAGAACCCGGCCCCTTCCTTCGCAGATGCAACGCCATCCCTTCCTCCCCTTACCTGCCCCAGCTGTAGAGGCCGCGATCCAAAGCACTGGCTTACTCCCGAGGAGGGCTGCCCTGTTGCAGCCCGCGACACTTCCGGGCACATGGGGATGACATCGACACGTTTGTTGCGGGCGTGTCCTCTCCCCTTAAAGGACCAGCCTCGCAGCAGCGGCGCCCAAATTGAGGCTGTGTTGGGGACGGGGTTCTTTTTTTTTTTTTTTTTAAAGTCTTTATTTGACATCATTTTTTATACCACTATCAACATTCAGAATACTAATAAGAGCTTCTCAAGATTAACAATTACTTGTACATTCAAAGCAAGCCCTTACATTCAAGTATCATTAACACCGCCAGTCTGTTCTAATAATCAGACAACCTAAAGAGAGTCACAGGTCACTATAATACAAATTCTTTGGCCCTACCTTCTTTCTCCCTAGCCAAGTATTCTACTACTGGGAACCAGATAGCTTGAAATGCTTTTGGGTTGCTTTCCAAGTAAGGATTGACTGGTAATTTTACCATAAATAAAATGCTCCTATAGTTTATTTTGCTGCAAATATAGAGAGGGTCCAATTTTATCTCTCCATCTTATCGTGATTGCGATTCTGGCTATTGCTAAGATAGAGTGGAAATTTATTTTGCCTTTGTTTTCCATAGGGCCCAACCAGTTACACAGCAGGACCATCTCCAGTGTAGCTGGTAAGTTATCTCCTGTGATATTCCGAATTTGTACCAGGATTAAATTCCAAAATTCTTTGATGACTGGGCAGTTCCACGAGCAATGCAAGAAGTCTCCATCCTGGCCACAGTTTTTCGAACATTTTTTACTGATTGAGATATATATAAGATGTAGTCTAATTGGCGGCAAATGCCATCTGTGTATAATTTTAAAAGAATTAAATCGTAAGCTAAAAATCTTAGAGGTATTGCTTGGGGATCCCCAAAGTCTTAACCAATCCTCTTCTTGTATTCTGTTTTGACAATCCATCTGCCATAATGCCTGAAATTTAAGCTTATCCTCTTTTACCAGGGAGATAAGTAACTTATGGGAGCTGCGGTGGCTCAAGTGGTTAAGACGCTGAACTGCAGGCTGTGGAAGGTCAGTAGTTCAGCAGTTCAAGACCCGGGTGCCGCATGATGGAGTGAGCTTCCATCTCTAGTTCCAGCTCCTGCCAGCCTAGCAGTTCGAAAGCAAGAAATTGCAAGTAGATAAATAGGGACCACTTCGGTGGGAAGGTAACAGCGTTCCGTGCGCCTTGGTGTTTAGTCATGCTGGCCACATGACCACGGAAACGTCTTCAGACAGCGGTGGCTCTTCGGCTTGGAAACGGAGATGAGCACCGCAATGCTAGAGTCGGACTCGACTGGCTTTCGAGCAAGGGAACCTTTACCTTTACTAAGTAATTTATAAATATAAGCAATACAACCTTTAATCTCTCCTTTCTGACTCTAGAAGATTTTCAAGGCTGTTGGTGGTCAGGTAAAGATTTTCTTATTTTGTAAAGTTTTTATCATTTTGGAAGGTTCTAAACCAAGGTGTTTTTTTTTCCTCCTATCTTTGTCTCCAATTCTGCTTTAGTGAGAGGTTGACCTTTGTTTAGTAAATCCATTACTCCCGTAATACCTGCTTATCTCCATTTGGAAAATGCTGCTTGCTC